GGCTCAACATCAGTAAGCATCTTATTGTACATGACGACTGCCTACTAATTGAGAAAGAAATACGACAGATAGTGCTCAAAAGCATTCATTTGAGACACCCAGCATCTGCGGCAGTTCTTGACCTTTCTGAACAGTTATGCTTCCCTGACATCCATTGTTCAATCGTCTAGATGGCGCAAAAGAGACGGCGATGCACCGAATAAAGTAAAAACCGGTAATAGGAAAAACTCACTAATTCCAGATGAAATCAGTATTTGAATCGAACAAACAGTTTCAATTAGATTTTCCGATGAGCTCCATTGAGACGCGTAAATTCTAGTGGCGATAGATAAAAGGTCACAAAACCCAACCGCTAAAGCAGATTTTGCTATAACAATTATGCAAAAGTATATTACAAACAATATCGTTGAAAATAAGATGCAATCAAGCGTTAATATTCAGAGCGGACAAATTTCCGATTTTTTGTAAGACAAGCAACATGAAGTTACTGTTTGAACCATTCGACAATCATAAGTTCATAACGGATGACACAAACAGTGAAACGGATGACACAAACAATAAAATGTAGATTAGTAGTAATGAGAGTTGACAAAAACAATACATCATTCAAATTAGCGTCGGACTTCACAGAAGTTATAAAAACATTCAGAAGTGCCACTTACGGGGTAACACGGTGTCATAGAGCAAGGCTCACATTCGCTGAATACCAAAAACATTGTGACTTTCAATATAGCAACAACAAACTCGCCAAACAATTTAAATTGGAAAAACGCAAAATACGCAAGTTCAGATTATAAAAACTTGATGCACCCTCCCAGGTGTACAGCACGATCTACAAGGCTGGCCACAGGACGAGATTGCAATCAAAGGAAGGCCCACAAAAAGAATACCAGATTACCTCAACGGTGATTTTGCTTCAACCAAGCAAACACAACGAGCAGCAACAACAAACTCACCAAACAATTTAAATTGGAAAAACGCAAAACACGCAAGTTCAGATTATAAAAACTTGATGCACCCTCCCAGGTGTACAGCACGATCTACAAGGCTGGCCACAGGACGAGATGGCAATCAAAGGAAGGCCCACAAAAAGAATAGCAGATTACCTCAACGGTGATTTTGCTTCAACCAAGCAAACACAACAGGACACTAAGCAGACATCATTTAGGCAACGGGAAGCTTGATACCTGAAAATTAGGAGGATAAAAGAACAGGTGGAAAAACTATATAAAACACATAGAACAGGTAGCAATAACACCGTGCGCATAGCAACAAAGCTGAAAATGTGAAAATGTTTGAGCAAAAACACATAACGACTGACGGGAAAAATCTGAATTATACACCACATACAGCCATAAACTAACAAGAAAATAACAAAGAGGCCAGCAAAAGGAGAGCCCGAAGAAAGCAAAACCGCAAACAAGCAAAAGGTACATCATTGAGAAACAGCCACGCAAAAAAAAATCCTGAACAACTAAGTTCATCAAACTCAGAGAATGCGGCACCTTCTTCAAAAAAGCAAAACAATAAAAAAGGCCAGCTCAGTTAACTAGGATATCGGCAGCAACAGCGACGCAAAAATCCGTCAGAAAAAGGCAACCGGCTCTTGCAGGAGCACTCGGAAACCCAGTACCTATAAACGCGATTGAAGTAGACATGGAAAAGAAGTCAACAAACAGTCCACAAGGAACAACTCGAATATTAAAGGCCTAATATACGAGTTGGCGTTCAATGAGAAGTCGCCTGTAGTCCAAGTGCAAGGAAAGTGCCTCGAGACTATAAAATCTAAAGCCAGCATTAGGAGAGTAGTGGTCGAACTAGTATTCAAAGTTGTTCAGTCCAAATCGCGACAGATACTAATACAGCGGCATAGAACAACACATAACCTGAGGGAAGAAAAAACTAGTAAAATCCCAAGAGAAAGAAACAAGTTAAAAAGTCGACCATAGCCAGTGTTACGGGGACTAAAACTTCAAGTTCCCTAGGGACTATAAAGCTATCATCTCACGGAGACGCTAAAACTTTGTGTACTAGAAAACTTTTGCTCAACATGGGGAATGTGATTTAGCCGTATTATGGTAAATAATTAAATAAGAGTTTTATAATGTGATATGCATAGGTGAAAGCAATAGCTTTCAGAACATGAGCTAAATCTTTACCAACCAGTTGTTTTACGTTACGTTTTTCTGTTTGCTGATCCGACGGATTCAGTATTATAGATTGCTCATACTGACAGCATCATCAAAACTGCTTCTCAGTTTTTCTCCAACAGTTGAAAAAACCTATCAATTCAAGCTAGCAATACATTATTTTGCAATTAGAAAACAATATAATCATACATTTCCATTAATGCAAAACTTGTTAGACATACGGTTCCATTAATGACAAAAAAATGCTAGTCATACACTTCCATTAATGGAAAACATGCAAGTCATCATGCTACTTTCAAATCACGAAAAAATGAATTTCGAAACAACGAAACGCTAGGAAAAGAACAAACTGATATATTTCGCATTCAGAATATGATTTTTTAGGTAAATTTACCTTAGTAGAGTTTGGAAAAGGCTACGTTTTTGGATCAAGTTAAGAGACCCAAATAGACCAAAATCATCCACCCAAGCATTCAATTGGGGTTAAATTTGCTAAGCACTGTATGTAAAGGATCGACTATCCTAGGCTGAAAAGTTCCACTTAGCACCGAGAAAACATCTTCCCCCCTAACTACTTCTTATTCCACGTTTTCTATTATAAACCTGTATGATATTCAATGTCTTACTTTAAATGGTAAATCTTCTATTGCAGTTTATGTGAGATTATTGTCCTTTAATCAGGAGGTTTTCAAATACGAGCTTAAAGACAAAACAGAAAAATTTGAAGTAGTATTATACAGTCAACTTAAGAAAAATATGTTCATCATACAATTGCATGATATGGAAAATTGAGTTTCACACCCTTCCGTAGGAGGGGAAAAAGCTTATCGTACCATTTCTGTTTAACTCTTTTCATGGAGATGACTAGAATTGAATTAAAAGCTTGTTTCGATAGCATGGAATTGTATGATATGCATTTTGTTTGTCAAGATGGGCCTCTATGAAAATTTAAGGATAGGTCAGCCTACAGCAGTGTCAATACGTACCAAAGGAGGGAGCCTTTGGGTGGTCAGGCAGTCGAACTCCTCTTAATCCCTTAATGCTGAAATTGATTATTAACACACTCACTCATGCACAGACATATAAACAAACCAACAACTGTTGAAAACTGTTTATCTAATATTTATAATCTTGGGCGTCTAGAAAGAGCTCATTGTACCAGTTGCTGTTTTACTTTTGTTCGATTTGGATTGCGTCATTAGGCGAACCATGTTCTAGTTGAATCAGTTTGCGCAACTGGATCTGAAGCACCCTCGATTCGCTGCTCTGGTTCGCCGGCATTCGGTTGATTGATATGTTGCCAATCCCATGATTATCATTACTGGGTCTCTTTTCGTTATCAGAGCCTGCTCCATCTTGTGCTTGCTTATGAAGTGATTTCGTTGCATCGACGTTGCAAGCGCAAAATTTCCGATATATCGAATCAAACGCTTTTTTTAAGCTGGCTCTAAACTGCTGGTTCTGAACGGCAAAGAGCACGAAAGCAACTGTCATGTTAAAAGTAGTGAGCAGGACACCGATATTCACAAACAGTTTCAGAATCAGATTTTTCTCGACCGGATCTGCTGTTTTCTCATCCACAACCTGTGATAAAAAAGGGCTAAAGTCTTTTCAAAAAATTTTGAATATTGCCAACGAAGTTTTAGTTTTAATCAGACCAAATGAGGTACCTCAAATAAAACCAGATGGATAGGAAGTTAATTAATCCCTGTTAGTCGTGATTCGATTGACTTTTCAAAATATCTAAACAATCTCCCTGCTATAGTATCTACTAAAAATTATCCACCCCTATAAATAAAAAGAATGCTCGTATCAGGGCAAAGCCATGAATGTTCCGACTGCCTTTTAAGGGTTTATGGAGCAGTAATAACATTAAAAAATTAAATGTAATAAAAATTTTAAAAAAATTTCTTTTTAAATTCGAAATTTTAAATAAAAATCATCCCCCCACACGTCATATTAAGTACAAAGTGGTAGATTTTGCGCCTATTAAAAAATCAGGCATAAAAGCATCATTGAACCAATTTGGAACGATTTCTAAGACGGATTAAATCTCCGCTTACGCGTTAATAGCTCGACGAATTATATCGCGCGTTAATTGTCCCAAATTGGTCAAAATGGCCAAAATGGCAACCTTTAAACCCTCATAACTTTACGAAAAATAATCACAGGAGAAATATCTTTTCAAATTTAAGCTCAAGACAACAATACCTTTTGAATGATAAAAATTTTTTTGTCAAAAATGGCTAGTTAAAAAGTCGAAATTTGTCTGAAGAAAAAAAAACCCACCCCGAGCACAAATATTCCGTTACTTTCGTATCGAAAGTCGGAACAACAAGACTGCTCGTATCAGGGCGAAGCCCTGAATGTTCCGACTGCCCATTAAAGTTTATGGAGCAGTAATATCATTAAAAAATTAAAAGTAATAAACCAAAATGAAGTTTTTTTTTCAAAATTTTTTGAATTTTTTTAAATAAAAATCATCCCCCCACACGCCATATAAAGTACAAAAAGATAAATTTTGCTACTTTTAACAAATCAATTATGGCAAATAAGCTTCATTCAACCAATTTGGAACGATTTCTAAGACGGATTAAATCTCCGCTTACGCGTTAATAGCTCGAATTATATCGCGCGTTAATTGTCCCAAATTGGTTAAAAGGGCCAAAATGGCAACCTTTAAACCATCATAACTTTACGAAAATTGATCGCAGGTAAGATATCTTTTCAAATTTAAGCTCAGGACAACAATACCTTTCGAATGATATTAAAAAATTCAGTCAAAAATGGCTAGTTAAAAAGTCGAAATTTGTCTGAAGAAAAAAAAAACCCACCCCAAGCACAAATATTCCGTTACTTTCGTATCGAAAGTCGGAACAATTAGCACTGGAGTTTTCTGTTGAGAATTCTATTTTTGCTGAACTTTTGCGAAAAATCAACCAATGTACTTAACAATTTCTTTCTCCGCCTTTCTGGAAAAGTGGATTGTTATGTTATCCGAGTAATCAGTTGGATATTATTCGGCTCATTAGAGAGCATTGTTGCCATCTAAAGGATCTTAAAGCTGCCAATTAACCCAATTTGAACCCAACCTCTAATTAAAACCATTCCAGATAATTTGTATGAATTATATCAAAGATATGTAAAAAATTTATGTGGAATTGCTATGAAAAACATTTCCCCATGCATGGAATCTGTACTGAGCATTTTTGCTATAGCTTTTTTTGTTTCATTTCACAGATTCTTTATTTGTTCAAAAACGAAACCCAAAGGTTTTTTTGAAGTAAGAAAACACAATGGTTAACTTGCAATAACCTCACTGCACGTAGATTTTGCCTATCTATGTGCCTATAATGAACTTCGCGTAGATTTTTATATGATAACTTTCCTCCTTTTGTATAAGATTGAAAGTTTGTACTTGGGAAAACTTAGCATTTAGAAGTAAGTTTTTCGACAAGTTCGACTAAAGTATTTTTGACGAGTTAAGAGTTGGTATTTTCATAAATAAATATTAACAAGACTGCTCGTATCAGGGCGAAGCCCTGAATGTTCCGACTGCCTTTTAACGTTTATGGAGCAGTAATAACTTAAAAAAATTAAATAAAAAAAAATGAAAGTTTTTTCTAAAATTTGAAACTTTTTTAATGAAAATCGTCCCCCCACACGCCATATAAAGTACAAAAGGATAGATTTCGTTCCTTGTAACAAATCAATTATGGCAAATAAGCTTCGTTCAACCAATTTGGAACGATTTCTAAGACGGATTAAATCTCCGCATCTTTAAACCCTCATAATATTACGAAAAATAATTACAAGTGAAATGTTTTTGTTCCGACTTTCGATACGAAAGTAACGGAATATTTGTGCTCGGGGTGGGTTTTTTTTTTCTTCAGACAAATTTCGACTTTTTGACTAGCCTTTTTTGACAGAATTTTTTATATCATTCAAAAGGTATTGTTGTCCTGAGCTTAAATTTGAAAAGATATTTCTCCTGTGATAATTTTTCGTAAAGTTATGAGGGTTTAAAGGTTGCCATTTTGGCCATTTTGACCAATTTGGGACAATTAACGCGCGATATAATTCGTCGAGCTATTAACGCGTAAGCGGAGATTTAATCCGTCTTAGAAATCGTTCCAAATTGGTTGAAAGAAGCTTATTTGCCATAATTGGTTTGTTTCAAGGAACGAAATCTCTCCTTTGTACTTTATATGGCGTGTGGGGGTGTGGTTTTCGTTAAAAAAAATTCAAATTAAAAAAAAAATTTCATTTTTTTCTGTTTCAAAAGTTTTTTTAAATTGTTTTTGCTCCATAAATCTTAAAAGGCAGTCGGAACATTCAGGGCTTGGCCCTGATACGAGCAGTCTTGTTTCAAATTTAGGCCCAAGACAATACTGACTTTCCAATTATATTATAAAAAAAAATTCCATCAAAAAAGGTTAGAAAAAAAGTCGGAATTTGACCGAAGAAAAAAAACCCACCCCGAGTACAATTATTCCGTTACTTTAGTATCGGAAATCAGAACAATAAAGTAGGTTGATGCCTTGTTATTGTACCGACTTTCGATACAAAAGTAACGGAATATTTGTGCTCGGGTGAGTTGTTTTTCTTCAGACAAATTCCGACTTTTTAATTAACATTTTTTTTGTCGGAATTTTTTATATCATTCAAAAAATTTGTTGCCCTGAGCTTAAATTTGAAAAAATATTTCACCTGTGATCAGTTTTTGTAAAGTTATGTGGGTTTAACGATTGCTATTTTGGCCAATTTAGGACCATTAACGCGCGATATATTTCGCGCTATTATCGCGTAAGCGGAGATTTAATCCGTCTTAGAAACATTACTTTTAAAAATGGCTAGTTAAAAAGTCGAAACTTGTCTGAAGAAAAAAAACCCACCCCGAGCACAAATTTTCCGTTACTTTCGTATCGAAAGTCGGAACAAAAGCCAACTTCCCATAAGCTTTTGGACGTTAATGGGAAGTTGGTTTTTAATATTTAATCTGGACTATTTTTAGACAAGTACCACAGTTTCATGGAAAGTTATCAATTATATTAGATTTTCTTTAACAGACTATAAAAATTAAAGATAATTGATTAAAAATGGATTATAGTTTTAATTTTTGGCTTCTCAATAAAATTCATTTGCAGAGGGTAATTTGTTTTGCTAGTTATTATAAAAACTTGCTTTGAAAACACAAAGAAGTATGTTCAAAACTTAACAGTTGCTTTTGGCTTGAAAGACGTGAGATCAGAGAAATCTATGTTTACTCTAACGTAGAAAAAATATATAATTTTTTTAAAAAAATTTTTCCCGAACCGGAGTTCCATGGATAATAACCGATTATAATGGAAAAATGTTGGCTAAAATGTTGTTATTATAATCCATTATTGTCGCAAATTTAATAGCATTATCATCATTATAAGTTATTTTTAATTTTTGGAAATTGTATGACTAGCCCTCTCCCATAAACTAAAAATATCGATTTTGTACATTTTAATTGCTGAAAACTTTTCAATTTTGTTCGTCACCGAACACAAGTGAAAAAAACCTTGATTACTCAAACGTAGAGTAACCAAAGGGTCGGTCATCTCACATTGAAAATGCATTGGAAACAGCCTGAAATGTTTTAATTCTGTCTCAGACAATTAATATGAGGAAAGTAACGAGCTTTCAAATTTTGGCAAAATTTTGCAATCCATTTCATGCTGTTCAAACAATCCTTTAGCTTCCAGTCCGATCTCAAAAAGATTCAAGATAATACAAAGCATATCAATCGTTAAACCAATGATCTTAACATTGAACCCAACTCTCTTACCACGACTTTTTTTTTACAAAAAGAGAATTGAGTTTAAAAACGAAACGAAGCAGATATAGTCCTCAATTTATTTTTTCCCCGAAAGTCCGGAACTAAAAAACCAGGCTCATACCCATCCTTTATGTTCTATCGTCTTATAGACTAAAATAAGACACCAGTTTCCGGTACTACTATGACAGACAAGTCCCTATGAAGAATTTTTTTGAAAAACCGCTGGTACCTAAAAAACTACAATAAGTTCGCATGTAACAATTTGAAATAATTCGTTTTTTTTTGTTCACTGTATGCATTTCCTTTCAACTAATTTCAAAATATAAAATTCAAAATTTTTGAACTTGAAATGTATTTATTATTTTGCTTATATGAAACAAATTGTTTCTTTCAACTTGTTTTTTGAGTCCGAAATAATCAATTGATTAATTTATTTATACTCAAAATTGAACTCGGCGGGAATGTTTTTTTTCATTAAAAATTTTCAACGATAGAGGGGAGTTTTCAAGAATTGCTAACGAGACACGCAAAAATAGTTTGAAGAACACTGGGGCATGTTTATGGAAGATATACCTATGATTAGTGCCTGATTTGTACGCTTTGGAATTGCTGTAACTGTGAGTTGAAACTAGTGTTTCAGAACATTTTCTCATCCAACTCATCAATTCTTAATTTAATCTTAGTGGGATCCCTTCAGACTAATGAATAGTTTTCGAGCATAAACTTTTATTGAGGTTGGTTTAAAAAGAGGCTGGATCGAACTACGTACGGTCAATATAT